AATTAAACAAAAACATAAGCATTGCTGTAGTACAGCTGAACTGAGAACAAGGACACTGAAAACATTCTTTTCTCACTGAAGATTCAAACTCTAGGCAATCGGTATGTGGCAGTTACAGTAAAACACACACACTTGTGCGGTTCTGAGAGCCTCACCTCAGCTAGCCCAGAGACACACGCTGCAGGAGGGGGGCATGAAGAGGAAGCGCTTTCAAGAAAAAGCCGAGAGCAAAACTAACTACTGATATAAAGACAAACAGAAATAACTACACATACTTTTTTCACTATTTCAAATGACCTTTATGAGAGCTTAATGGGTATTTATCTGAATATTTTACAAAGCACCTAGGTACCAAAAATTAAAAATGTAAAACTCTAAGCAACAATCTTATTTAACATTCTCCTTCTGCAGAGCAGGCAGCTGGAACTCACGAAAGCATTTCAAGACAGCTGGGAGTGGTGGCTCAGGCCTACAGTTCTAGCAATCACAGACAGAGGCAGAAGGACTGCCACTAGCTTAAGGTCAACCTGCCATATACTGAATTCCAGGTTTGCCAGAGCTACATTAAATCCACCAACTGAACAACCAACCAACCCACCCAGCCAAGCATGGTAGCACATGCTGTCATCCAAGCACTTGGGAGACACAGAATGACTGGAGTTCAAGATCATTCTCAGCAAATCAGAGTTCTAGGTCAGCCTGGGCTACATATGACCCTGACTCAAAAGATAAAACCAGACCCTCAAAATCCAATACTGAGGTTTATTAGACTAAAATGGCACTGGGTAGCTTAAGGCACAAACATTAAAACAAAACTTCTTTGGAACAATATATAAAGTTATGACTTCACTTTCTATGTTATGATCACCTTTAGCAATATATGTTTAATATTTAAGGCAATCACACAAATGTAAAAGGTTCATATACAACATTTAATGATACTTACTTTTATGTGTATGTTTTGCCTGTACTACGACAGTTTACATATAATGTATGTGCACCATGTGTGCCTGTGGAGGCCAGAGGGTTTGGAAACCCAGGGACTAGAGTTACACACACTTGTTAGCCAGAGTGAGGGTGCTTGGAACCCAAGCCAGATCCTCTGCTAGAGCAGCAAATGCTAGTGCTTGCTCCTAACCACTGAACCATCTCCCCAACCTGCTTACAAATAAAACACTTTAAAACGTCTAAAGTATTTTGAAACATCCCTGGAATTATTAGTTTATACTCCAGACGTGGTGTCTGATGCCGAGCACTAGATGTGGCAGCAAGCATACTTAGTCAAGCCTACTGTGTCACAGGTCAGCCAAGCTGCTTCATTCTGGTTATATGGTATGGTGAATTTTCATGTTGGTTATGTGGTTTGGTGAATTATTTACCTAATGTAATAATGTGTGAAATGGTATCATTCCAGCTTTCTACATAATGCCAATCAACTCCATTACTGTTTCTCACATGGGATTTCATATGGCCAACTATGACCTCAAATTGGCTCTGTTGCCATGGCTGTCCTGGAACTTTCCTGATCCTCTTGCCTCACCTCCCAAGGGCTGGAATTACAGACATTGCCACCACACTCAGCTATGTACCACTAACTCTAGCATGACTAAATCATTGTAACTACTAACGTCTTGGGTCGATCATAAAGCAGTCCACAGGAAGCTTCTGGATATTATCTTATTACTTGGTACCACATGAAGTCTATAGGATGTATCCTTTTCCCATATAAACCTAAAGACATTAAAGGCACACACAAAAAATTCAACTCCCTTTCTCTCTTCCTGTATGGGCTCTCAGAGTGATTTTTAAAAATCTACTGTCAGATCAGGAAAAAGCAGCACACATCTGGTTTGGACATGACAAAAGTAGAAAACCCACCTTTGTCTTTCCTGAGTTTCAAAATGGGAGTCTGACAGCAGATACAGAAACAATTCATATTCACCAGGAGAATGTGTCAGTTCACAAAGCACTGTCATCCTTCTAAGCAGAATGGATGTTTAACCACTGCTATGTGAAGTTTCTGAAACATTTTAGTTTAGAGTCATCCACTGAATGGTTTCCAAGTGAAAGCACTTTGCATACCCTGATGGGCAACAGATAAGCTAATGCCCTCCCTGAGCATTTTCGTCTTTTTAAATGTGATTCAAATGGAGTAAACACCTGGATCCCAATCATGTATGAAAAGTGGCTACTGAGAATCCAATTCCTATCTATTAGTCAAGTCAGTGTGGGAATAATACAGTAGAAAGGGAGGAAGTCAGGCCACCTTGTGGAGTACATGGAGGACTTGGAGGAAGATATAAGTTCATAAAAAATGTACACAGAAACCAACTGTAATTTTCTGTTGATCCACAAAACATACGTCCTTTCCAACAGAGAAAGTGATGTTTGCAAACTTCTTTTCAGGTTTGTGTTCTGATCTTATAACACTGCTGTTACACAGATCCACAGATCCTTATGACCAGATTGCACTTTCAGATGAAATGATTATTTTAGAAAATGGGTGCTGGCTTCCACTTCTAACTGCAGCTCTCAGAAGGCAAAGAATTGCCAAGAGTTTGAGGCTAGCACAGGCTACAGAGATCTTGTCTCAACAATAAAGAGTACTCTAGAAATGTTCAAATTTAGTCTTATGCAATTGAATTCTACATAACCAACTAATTTTTTACTTTATATATATATTTCTGACAATTAAACTTACAAAAATCATTGGGTGTTTGTGATATAGGTACACAACCATACTATCTACATATAAACACACTAACTACATATAAACATACTAACTACATATAAACATACTAATTTAAAGGCTCATATAAACATCACTTATCAAAAGAAAATATGCCAATTATGAGGTGACAGAATGAAGATAATCTGACATCAAAATGATTGAAATATCCCTTTTAATACACTTATTATACTCTAAAATTATTTTTCTTAAGCCAGGGCTTATCACCATTATTTATCAAGAATTAGCAAAGATAAGTAATTAGAGGAAGTAAATATATCAACTGGGTAGCTTTTAAAAGTTAACTTTCTAGGATTCTGGTACTTTCAATATAATTAGCAACATAAAGAAAAATTAATTTGTTTAAACAAATTCTGATTTTCAGGATTCTTGTCCAATTTACTACAATAAACATGAGGATATATGAAAGACAAACATTACAAGATACAAGTAGATAATACTTTTGCAACAGACAAAAACACTAAAATACAAATTTACTTTGACCAAGTCTTTTATATGATGTCTTTATGAATGGACATGATCTTACAAATATACATGAGAATAACAATTATCATTTGTTGAATCCTAAGCATTTATAAAACAACTCTGTTCATACATTTCACTGTTAAGAATTACTGAACTAAACAATTTCCATTCGCTAATAAAAATATAATGCAGATATTTACTATAAGATTACAGTACAAACCCCCTCAGTTGTACACACACATTTCTCAACCGTCAGGTGATTGTTTTCTGAACTGCTTCGACAGCTGTGTTACATCACTTAAACTTCCTGACTTGAAAACAATTTCCAAAGTGTATTCTTTTTAGCATTTTTCTCAGAATTTAGATTCCAATTAAGCATGACTCTTAAAAAATGTTTATTATATTATCTTAAGATGAGGGAGAAGTTGTTTGCCAATGCTAGGCTTCTGATGACTGCCTTAATTTGAACACAACTCTAATGACACTACTGTCATCGACAAGGAGTATATTAGAGTGAGAGACTGGAAAGTTACACAGCAAGACACTTGCTGCAGCCTAGGGCATTGTAAATCATTATCTGTCCACACATAAGTCACAATAATTAGTTGTGCTAATTCCTGCTGTATTCACTTACATTTCTAAGAAAAATTTCACATTTCCTTTTGAAAACTGCTAAGCTTTATAAAATGGAGGTGAAAAACCTAGAGGGAAAAATTTAGTAGAAATTTGAAAATGTTGATCAGTATTTTATACAAATAAAAGAGCTCTCCAAAACAAGAGATTTCTCTCTGGAGACCAGAACTGCTGCTGGTCAGAGTTACAAACAAAAGTGGCCCCACTGAGAAGTGTGACCTCTGCTATAGGATCTTAAAGAATCAGTCAACACTCCTAGACTGATAACTGCTTACAAGGCCTTGGAGAGGCACTCACAAAGCATCACTAGGAAGGTCAAACTCTGCTGGGCTGGGTAGGGAGCAAACCTGTTCTTTCTTACAGCATATTGCAAAATGCAGTTTTGTCTTAAAACATATTTCTTTTACATACATGTGTGTCTGTGTGAATGTATGTGCACCACATGCCCAGGGAGGCAAGAAGGTGTTAGATTCCCTGAACTAGAATTGCAGAAGTTTGTGAGCCACCTGGTAAGGGTGGGAACCAAACCTAGGTTCTCTGCAAGTGTAGTAAGTGTTCTTAAACACTGAGCCATCTCTTCAGCCCACTTGGTTTCTTTTGATGTATCTTCCAGATCCTGGATACAGGTGTGCACTACCATGCCTGGGAAACAGATCTTGGACACAGACACCTGCCTGGCTCTGTACAGGGATTTCAACTCCTATGTTAGTTTAAAGGGAAGAACTTCTTTACTGGACTCACAGATGATTCATTAAATACCCTGAGAACCAAAGTGTGTCACATTTTTTTTTCAATAGTTATTTTATTTTTTCCTTAGGGACTAATGTATAATTTAAATTCCTTTTATATCTCCTACATAAGCTCACAAAAAAGTATTTAATATCAGAGAACAGTCTATAAAGTCATAAAATTTGGTGCTTTATGGTAGCTGAATTGTCACTACACTTTTACAATTAGGATATAACAAACAAAACCCCAAAAAGCCTTCAATAAAATTAACCAGTATGGATAAAGTCAATGATAGATATTTAAAAGTCATTTCTTGAGGCTGGAGAGATGGCTCAGTGGGTAAGAGCACTGTCATTTCTCCCAAAGGACCAGGGTTCAGTTTCCAGCACCCACATGGCAGGTTACAACTGTCTGTAACTCCAGTTCTAAGGGATCTGATCCCCTCCCACCAATGCACATAAAGTTAAATTGTTAAAACGAACAAACAAACAAACAAACAAACACACTCAGTTCTTCCTCTCACAATGAATTCTAAACATTTTTAACAACAGGCAATTCAACCTAAATGAAGCTTCAGTCATGCAGTACTCTCTACAAAACTGACAGGAAAAGACACATTCCTCAAAGACGGTTCACAAATCCCCAAGAAGTTTACACTGGGCGTTACTGCCTACCCCACATAGTTTCTCAAAAATGTCAAAGTATAATCATATGCCAAATTATTATTATTATTATTTTTTAAAGACAGGTCTTATTGTGTAGTCCTTGCTGGCCTAGAACTTGTTGTATAGACCAGGCTGGGTTCAAACGTATAGAAATCTTCCTTCTGGGTGCTGGGATAAAGGTGAGGACTGGCCTCACTATAATCACTCATTACAGGAAAGGATTTATGACAGCTTGAAATATTGGTATTTTGGGTCAGAAAGGCATCAGGATTATTTATTTCTTTTTGCATATGACACAAAGGAGTTGTGTTCTCATGTGGTAATTTTAAAAACTTTCCTCCTGGATTGGCGTTGCCTTCTGTGTGAGGTATGCTGGGTTTAGTTAGAGCTTAAAGCATTTCTCATTGTATCTATGAATGGTTACACAGCCATGGTAGGATACTGGTCTGGGCATTGCAGCCACTCCTGTGATGATACTTGTCGCAGGATCGTAACAGAGAATAGTATCTGTGGCTTCTCCATTTTCCCGTCTTCCACCCAGGATATAGATTTTACCATTACAAACAGACATACCACAGTTTTCCTGTTTAACCAAATATATAGAAAACAAACAAAAAAACAATTAATTATTGAAGATAAATGATTTGACAATAAACTGAAAAAAAAACCATCAACATGCTTTAACACAGTATAAGAAAGGGAGACGTAATATAAGCAAATCTACTCTTGTCCAACTCCTGTTGTATGTTTGAGTGTTGATATTCACATGAATGAAGTGAACGCTAAGATGAACTGTAAGTAACAGAAGCTGAGATGTGAAGGGCACGACAGACGGACAAGGCTTTCGTTCCAGTACAGGAAATAAACATTAAAACACAGGGCAGGGGCTGGAGATGGCACTGTGTTTAAGAGTGCTGTTCTTCCAGAGGACCCAAGTTCGGTTCCCAGCACCCACACTGGACAGTTCAACTGCCTGTGGCTCCAGCTTCAGGAGATCTGATGCCCTTTTCTGGTCTCCCAAGAGCACCTGCATACACATGGCATCCATTTACACAGATCCATAAATAAAAATAAAATCTAAAATAAAACAAACAAAAAATAATGCAAGTCATGGTAAAGAGATGGCTTAGTAGTTAAGACTGCTTGCTGCTGTTCCAGAGGACCCAAGTCCAGCTCCCAGCAGCTATTCTTTTTTTTGTTTGTTTTTTTTTGTTTTTTGTTTTTCGAGACAGGGTTTCTCTGTATAGCACTAGCTGTCCTGGAACTCACTCTGTAGACCAGGCTGGCCTCGAACTCAGAAATCCTCCTGTCTCTGCCTCCCAAGTGCTGGGATTAAAGGTGTGCGCCACCACTGCCTGGCACCCTCAGCAGCCATTCTAAGGGATCCGACTCTCTCTTCTTGTATGGGGTCGGGGAGCACTTATACACATGGCATGCACACATATGGCATGCATACATAAGTATGTACACATACACCAAACCATAATGGGGGACCTGGTACATGGGTTTCTGGGTAAAAGATGCTTGTTGCCAATCCCAACAACTTGTATGTTCCATTCCAGGACCCACATGGTGAAATTCTACATGTTGTCCTCTGACCTCCACATGTGCTGTGAGACACACACGGACACACAAATAAATGCTTTAAAAAAGTGCCACAGCTTGCAGTGATGATACATGCTTTTAATTCCAGCACTCAGCATAGTGAGTTCCAGGACAGCCAAAAGACAGAGACAGAGACAGAGAGAGAGAGAGAGAGAGAGAGAAAGGAGGAGGAGGAGGAGGAAGAAGAGGGGAAGGAAGGGAGGGAGGGAAGAACAAAGCAAAGATGTGACATCAGAAGGTCTAGAAGGAAGTGGTGAGCTTTAGAGTTGCTCATACAGGGGACACAGTGAAAATGACTGGTAGCAAACTGATACAGAGAAGCTAGACAAGTTGGAGGACAGAACTCTAAGGACAGCTTCAATGTGTGTGCTTCTCTCTTTTAGAGACAGTGAAAAACTTAGTTAAGGATTCTGGGATGTCAAGATAGAGACAGCATGAGAGAAGCAGGCAGATTCCTCTGTAAGTATGAAACCTTGGTGCACCACAGGCAATGCCACACAGCAGGTGAAAACAGAGATTTGAAACAAGATCAACTGTAAGCAGTAAATGAAGTAAGTCAGGAATAAACTAGAGTTATGTCATGAGAAAGAATCCTAAGTTACACTCATAAAGACTTAAGAGGCAAAAAGAGACTAAAAACAAACAAAGAAATGACTACTAGTGACCTTTAGGAATTTAGCTTCTGATACCGAGCATGCAGAACTGAGGAGGGTGAGGAAAACAGACGGTTACTTCCAGGCCAGCCAGGGCTACAGAGTGAGACCCCGTTTTTTTTGTTTTTTTTTTTGTTTTTAAAAAAAATAAGAGGAGGAGGAAGAAGAGGAGAAAAAGGAAGAAGAGGAGAAAAGAAAGAAAAGGAAAGAGGCAAGCAATAATCTAGTCAATTTGTTGCGGGAAGTATTAAAAAATGAACCTGCAGACTTCTTGAACTACTGCCGCCCACTCTCTGTCCTGGCGCAGTCCTGCCAGGCTACTGTCTGCCCGCCAACTCTCTGGCAGGGCTGGAGTTCCCATGTTCCCTTCACTGTCATGCCAGCCCCACGCAATGACCATCCACCCTGCAGTCAGCCGCCACAACACCCATTTGCCTGGTAGAAACAAAACTCTAGAAGCTTATAATTAACAAGTCAGATTTACGTATCAATAAATTCTAAATTCACAAGATGTCCACACAATAATTCCTGGTTCAACTGATAATGATACAAGCTGCCCAACTAAATTAGACAGGTTATCCCAATTATTCTAACCTTATAAGATATTCATAACTACCTGTGGCTATTTAAAGCCATACTGGTTCTCAATCATCCTGTCCTTCCGTCTCCATCTTAGCTACTTCCTCCTCTCTTCTTTCCCTTTCTCTTTATGCAACTCTTAGCTCCGCCCCCCTTTTCCCTGTCCAATCACACTAATCCCTCCTGCACTAATATTTAAATAGATTGAACATGGAATTTCCTGCCACACCGCCTAATCAAACTAGAAAGACAAAATACAGCCAACAAGTTAAAGAAGGAAAGAAACAATCAGATAAAGAGAGAGAGAGGGACAGAGGGGGAAGAAGGGAGAAAGACTGCAGATAAAACAGGAGGAAGGAAGGAAGGCAAGCAAAAATCTAGCCAACTAATCAAACTAAGAAAGACAAAATACAGTCAACAAGTTAAAGAAAGCAAACAAGCAAGCAAGCAAGCAAGCAAGAGACAGACTGACAGAAGGACAGATGGATAGACAGAAGGAAAGAAGAAAGGAAGGAAGGAAGAAATGAAAGATGGATGGAAGGATGGGTGAATGGATGGGTGGATGGAAGAAAGGAATACATCTTGGGAGAGCAGGCTGGAGAGGTGGTTGGCTCACTGGTTAAGAACACTTACTTTACTTACAGAGGACTGGAGTTTGGTTCCTAGCACCCCCATTAGGTGGCTGACAACCACCTGTAACTGAAACTACAGGGCCCTGGCCCGTTTTCTGGTTTCTCTGGGCACTCACATTCCTGTGCACATACTAACATACTACCTTGACTGTGCTCTCTCCCCTTCTACAGCATCTTTACTGATATGAGGAGAGACAAAATTCCAGCCTTGGGAGCAGCATTTTGGTAATAAAAGGAAAGTAAGCAAAGCCAAGACCCCACAAGTTAGGAGCCTTTCTGAAACAGCAGAGATAAAGGGGAGTTGGGGCTTCAGGTGGAAAGTGTGGGTGAATGAGGTCTGAACACAACCATTTCCTTTATAACAAAAAAATAAGACCATCAACAGAGAACCTTCTTCTCTTCTGAAATATAAAGAGAAAGGGTAGGAAGAAAAATGAAATTCTAAAAAAGGTGAAGGTTGAATTTTTTAAACCAAAAGCCTAAATATAATGGATACTTCCTGTTGGGTTATTGAAAAGAAAGATAGTTTACTAAAGCTAGTCCTTGGGGCAGAGCATGCAGTTCAACGTCAAGTGTTTATACCAGTGTTCATGAGGCTCTGGACCCAATCTCAGCACCGCAAAAACATAAAAAAAGAATAAAAGTAATTCCTTGGGAGGAAATTTTAAAAAATATGAAATATTTGAAAAGTGAGGTTCCAGTAATTAGTTATGTCACTTGTTCCCTCTTATATTTCTGTCTGGGTTCTCCATGTTCTTACCTGCCGGCTGAATGTGTTTTGTACATGCATCCAATAGTCTTCAACAGGATCGTAACAATATACCGCCTTGGTCAGTCCACCAGCTACGTAGATCAGTTTGTTTAAAGAGACAGCTGTTATGCACCTCTTGGCGATGGGGATAGCTGCACGAAGTAGCCAAGAATTGGTTTCTGGGTCATAAGATTGGACCTAACAATAGAGAAAAATATGGAGTAAAATGTCTAAATAAATATATAAATTTGCTTTAAAAATCTGTCAATAAATAGAAACATGGTTAAAAATTAAATCACGTTAATTCAAAGAATTAAATGAGGTTACTCTAATAAAATTCATATATTAGGAAAATTATTGCTTTTTTTGTCAAGGATAAAACTCTTTTGTTCAAAAAAAAAAATGAAAGAATTTCATTTTTTACCACCAAACATAAGACAGTAACAAAATGCACACGTATTTTTTTTTTCAAGAAGAATGGGCTCCAGGTTGACTTATGTACACTAAAGTCAAGTCTTAAGTTTCTCTGAAATTGTTTCATGTAAATTAGTCATGTCTCAATCTGAATATAATTTCTTTATGCTTTTAGGGAGTCCTTACCTCAAAAGAGAAGCAGGCAAACTCAATTTAGTATACTTTTAATTAGCACAAATTCTCAATGAACTGTAATAGGTGACTTTCTGTATGTATTGGCACAGTGCCCATGTGAAGGTCAGAGGACAGACAACCTGCAGAGTTGCTGCTCTCCTATTATTACAAGATCTGGGGACTTAACTCAGATCGTCAGGTTTGATGGTTAAGTGCCAATTCACTGGTTCCATAACATTTGGTGACATAGTAACATTTATGTAAGAAAATAAATTGATTTGACATTTCATTATCACTGCTAAGCCAATTAGCCATCGGCTACTCTTCCCTAGAATAAACATAATATCTACTGAAATGGCAGAAGGACTCATGCTCTTCTGTCCCAGAGTTGGATGGACTGCTGCTGCTTTGGGCTTTTTTTGTTGTTGTTGTTATTCCTTTCAAAGGTTTAAAGCAAATGACCTAGTTGGAAGCAGTATAATTAATTAGTGCCTCAACCTTTGCTTATTAATTTTCTGTGATGCATGTAAGTTTTAAATGCTGTAGATGACAGTAAAGTCTAACTCTGAGATTAGCTCATTTCAAAAAGGTTTAATCCCACTTGTTACACATTGCGGTATCACTGTGGCACCTTGGAATTGAATGTTTTTCCCTTGAAAGAACAGAATACCAATTTTTCAAAGATCCCTCATACTTAGTGACCTAGCCATCTATTCACTCAAGAGACCACCTGTCTCTCCCTTTTGGACATAGCATGGGTAGTTTCTCTAAGCATATGGCTTACCTTATCAGAACAAGTATTATCATCAGGCCCTCCACCAATCACAAACAATTTTCCTATACAGCTTGTCACTGCAGGAGAGCTCACTGCTTCCTTAAGTGGAGCAACTTCTGTCCAACGATTTGAAAAGGAATCGTAACACTCTACACTGCTGAGTCTGTTTTGCCCATCATAGCCGCCAACAACATACACCTATATGTAAAATACAGGGAAAGGAATCTTAGTTAGCAAGTCTAAAATGCTTATCTGCTCTGTTAAAATGAGAGAATCTCTCTCATTCAAGGACTAGACAGCTGTAACTACAGTGTATTTAGCTCAGTTTTCTCAGTCTGTTTAATTTTTAGTGCCCCTCTGACTACCATACCATTACAGAGCCTTTTCTGTTAGGTTTCCTTCAATGACATTTTAATCCCACAAGCATACTGTGTATTTGTTTTCTCTACTGTATATCTGTGCTATGTCTAGAAAGACCTTTTTTCCCCCTTTCCACCGCCTTGAAAGAACAAGTCTTTACCATACCTGTGGGAGTAAGGCTTGTTATGTTTTGTTCACTCAACAATGAGCTCTCTGATGATAAAGTAATAAAGCAGTGTAAGCGTAACACTAGGTAAGGTCAGCAGTGTGAGCTCTCTGAAGGCAAGGCTCATTTTTTAGCTCCTATGGCAGCTAGAAAAGCACCCAGGACAACTGAGCTCAAAAGCTTTCTCAATGTTTTCCATGACTACTGGTAGGGCAATACCTTTACTTGACAGCTGAGACAATAAACATGACATTTAGTAAATGGCTTACATGCAGGACCATCCCTTGTGTATTGTGAAGTATATTAGAAACTCTTATTAATCAAACTTTTCATTCCACATCCACATTTCTTTTAATGAACAATTATAAACTCTTCTTGCCACATGTAATTAACCGTGAAGTCCAACTGGGACTTCCAAAAGTTTGTCACTCCCACCCTTCCTTTTGTTTTCCATCATTACCATTTATCCAAGGGTCTGCATCATTTCATAGTTCTCCAAACCACATGCCAACATCCCAAAAACATCACCAATCAATCCTTTAAACAGATCATCAATGAATACTTAAGAGTTGGGCTAGACTTCACACTTTGTGATTTAAATCTGTCCACAATTTATCTGTGTGCCTCTGTGCATCCACAGTGGCCAATGCCACTTCCACTGTACATTGCACCTTTCTCATGTGTAATGTGACCTTGTCTCAAAAAAGAAAAAAAAAATACGTATACAGCTGGAGAGCTGCTTAACAGTCAGGAGCTCTTGCTACTCTTACAGACGACCCAGGTTCTGTTTCCAGCAGGCAGATCCAGGGGATTGGACTCCATCTCCTGGGCACACACATGTGAATACACACAACATAGAACATAATCCATCACCACCCCAACACACAGAGAAAGTAAATAAAACATGTTGGAGAGTTTATCTTAGTTTTATCTTCTCTTGCACAAATAAAGAAGGTGAAATAATATCACTTGAGATAAACATTTTTTTCTGCTTGATTGTCAAAGTCAGTAAAAGGGAAAAAGTTGTGTGGACTAGACACTGGCCTTGTTTTGTAATCTGATATAATGCTTTTCTAGTACTTCTTAAGTATTTGGATTCCAGTGTGTGAGAAATGTGCTGTACTGCCAGAAATTTGAAATTGGGAGAACAGAATATGTATTCAAAAAGCACAGTGTCATATTGTTTATGTCTTTAGTTTATCTTGGTTAGTAATGGAAGGAAATACCATTTGAAGCCAAAATACCCAGAGGGAAATGCAAGATCCAGCTGTGGCATTTCTTTTGGACATTTACCAGGAGAACTAATAAAAAGTCTTTTCTCTTACTTTACCAAGAAGGACAGCCATTTTGTGACGCCATCTGCCTTTATTTAGAGAAGCAACTCTGATCCAGATATTTAACTGTGAGTTATAAATCCAGACATCACGGCTGTTGATTCTTCCACCTTCAAATGTAGAACAATGCACATGTGGTAATATCACCAAATACAACTAAGAGGGCTATGCCACTAACACAGGTAATGAAGCAGAATTTACCCATTCAATTCAAGAAGTTCAGCATTTGCTCAACAAATAGAGGAGGAATCTTCTCCAGCTTAATAGAAATAGTTACATAGACCAGATTTAAGTTCTGCCAACTATTATCTTGAGAATTAATGATTGTAAGCTCCAAAACAATAAACTGCAGAAAGTAGGTTTTAGAAACAAGGCATCAGGTAAGTACAAATAGGATAATTCTAAAGACTAATTGTAAAGTCACAGGAAATCAGGTGTATGTTGCAGAGCCATTCATGTGGTAGTAAAAGTACAATCTGCAATAACTGCTGTCAATCAACAGGCTCCAAAGCACAAATACTAGCTACACTTTTTGAAAATCTGTCTGACTTTTAGGACTGTATCATATATAATAAATATGCTCAAGTTAATAATTTTATAGATAAATTCTAATTGATCAACTTGGGGAGAGAATTTCAGAAAACAAGCGAATTAAACATGTTTATATGAATACTTCTAACTTTACAGTTTACAGTGATTCTTTAAAAAGAAAAGATAAATCATACCTTTAACTTTAAGCTGGAGAGGGGGCTCAGTGATGAGAGCAGTTGCTGCTCTTTCACAGGCCCTGCGTGTACCCAGAAACCCCATGGCAGCTTACAACTGCCTACAATTCCAACTCCAGGAGACCTGATCATCTCCTTTGGCCTCTGCAGGCACTTCTATGTTCTCCCGTGCACATATAAGAACGAACACACACACACACACACACACACACACACACACACACACAGTTAAAATACATATACTCTTAAGTGTACACAAAAGCATTTAAAATATCATGACCAAAACCATTTTTTTTTGGTATAACTTTTGTAAGTAATTCTTTTTTTCAAGGGGAAAAGGTCTTTTCAGTTTTGTTGTATAAACTTGTTTACCTGAAACTTGTTTTACACTCAGTAAGTCATTTAAAAACAATCAATCTGATTCCCAATCAAAAGTTGTAGCTACTGTAATAATTTTGTATTTACCTGAAACAAGAATATCATTCCTCAGTGCACAGACTGCATACTCGGATTTGGTAAATTCTGGAAGCTTGGCCAAGGACTTCCACTCTCCTGTTACTGGATCATAGCACTCAGTGTATGGAAGATTAAATCCTCCAACTCGTTCACAGCCTCCAACCACAACTATCACCTCTGAGTAGCCAGTAGACCTAAAATAATTATTGTTAAGAATGCACAAATAATAGTTAAGTGACATATTAAAATATAATCAAGACTGTTCAAAGCCCTAGCGCCATGAGAGGCAATGAGGTTTGTCCTTGCAGATGTGTTGTGCAGAACAGGCTGCTAGTGATTTACATAGAGACCATTCATTAGTGGCATCATTAGACCACAGAGAATATCTACAAGGATTTTATTTTGAAGTGTTTAGGTTTACATGTATGAGTGTTTTGCCTGCATGTATATATGTGCACCATGCATGAGCTTGGTTGCTATGGAGGTCAAAGAATGGCACTGGATACTCGATACCCTGGAACTGGAGCTAGGGATGGCTATGAGTCACCATGTGGGTGCTGGGAACCAATCCCTGGTCCTTTGTAAGAGTATCAAGTGCTCTTAACCCGTGAGTCTATCTCTGCCATTAAACTTCTTCTTCAAAAAGACACAGCCTCAATATATATCCCATCCAGGCTGGCTTAAACATCATGATTCTCTTGTCTCGGCCTGAGAATACAAGTGAGTGACAGAAGTGATTACAGCCACCAGACCTGGCTTTTCTGCTTGGTTGGCTGATTTAGATACAGGCTTTCTCTATGTAGCTCTAGCTAGCTGGGAGGTCACTATGTAGACCAGACTGTCCTGGAACACAGATCCGAGAGTCTCTGCCTCCTGAATGCTGAGATTAAAGGCAAGGAATAACACCCTGGGTTTTATAGGTTTTGACTTTTTAAGCCTTTTGTTTTGTCATAGTACAAGGGTCTGAAACATGGTCATTGGGCTTTCAAAGCAAAAATTCCACCACTCTTCATTAATGCTAGTTCTAAAAATAAACCTAATGTCTATGTATTTAAGAGTATTTCTTCAGAAATAAGTTATTTTATTTGCAAGGTCCTCATGCTGTCCAGCTAGGAATATATGAAATCAAAGAAAATTAAAAAGCATCTATAGGTCCAACTGTTACAACATGCATGCATCTTATGAGACTTTAAATCTTAAAGACACAGAAGAGTTCTCGATCTGTAAGATATAACATTATCAATTCATTGTATTATTTAAAGACAGAATTGGCCAGCCCTAGAAGAAATACGTAAACGAACAAAGGAGTAAAAGGATAAATCATAATCACAGGAATGAATATTTGCTGTAACCACTCAGCTTATTGTCTTAGCAATATTGACTTGAACATTACAAATTCTTTGGCAGGAATTTTTTTTTTTCCCAAGACAGAGTTTCTCTGTGTAGCCCTGGCTGTCCTGGAACTCACTCTGTAGACCAGGGTGGCCTCGAACTCAGAAATCCACCTGCCTCTGCCTCCCAAGTGCTGGGATTAAAGGCGTGCGCCACCACTGCCCAGCGGCAGGAAAATTTTTAATGTTGGGCGAATTTCTCAAGTTGCTATTAGCTGAAAGGACCCAGTTCTAAAGCTCTACCAACTTCCTGTAGAGACTTGACTATAACAACATGCTGAGCAAGCAGCTTTAACACATTTAATCTGCTAGCTGGTTCTCCTCCTTTCTCTTCTCTTTTTGTATGGTACTGGTTTTGAACCCAGGGCCTTGTGCATGCTAGGCAAGCTTTTGGCCACCAACCTAAATTTTCAGACTCACTAGGGTTTTTTGTTTGTTTGTTTGTTTGTTTGTTTGTTTTGTAACAGGGTCTCACTATTGTTGCTTAGGCTAGCCTCGAGTCATTGACACTGTAATCCTCTAGCCTCAGCCACTAGAGCAGAATAGACTTACACAGACTAGAAAAGAGAAGCAAGTTAATTGGTTTCTCATAGTCAACATTAGATCCACCCCTAAAGACAATCTGACCTTATTTTTTAAACTTGGCAAGGGCACTGGAGTCTGTGTGCCAGGGCTTTCCACTGGGAACTACCCCAGGCAGGCGGCTTTTATAAGGAAAACATACGTAGTAACCAAGACTCACAATGTATACTTTTTTAAAGTAACAATTATCTAAAAATTACTATTGGGAACTAATGGTAGATATGCTTAAATACTGAGACACATAATGCATATGTGACTTAAAGGTAAAAACGGGGACAGCTTGAATCTCTATGGGCGTGGTAATGATTGCTGGATATCATGACACTAAACACGTTTACTACAAAAGGGATGATGATCATGTAAATGGATAGTAAATTCATAGATAAAAAGACATCTGGGTGTGCTGTCACATACTTCTAATCCCAACATTCGGGAGGCAGAGGTAGGAGGCTCATAAGGAGGCAGGGCTACACAGTGAGGCTGTTTCAAAAAACCAGCATATAAATAGACACTGCCTTCTAGGTATCTATATTTATACCTAAAGTGCTGCTCTAAGCCTCGATGAAGGAAGCATTTTGCAGTAGGCAGCAGGTTACAGTGCTGGGAACAAGTGACTGAAGTGCAGCTCCCTGAATCAGACAATCGCCACCATGCCCTTCCAAGGCTCAGAGAACACTGCTAAGAGCTGAAGAATGGGGAAGAGTGTGATGCAGCTCTGTTTTCTGGACACACCATGGCTGCAGCAATAAGGAACACACAGCAGCTCCTCTGGTTATCTGTACAAGATTGACCCTTCAACATTCCACCACGGATGGAGGGGAGCCATAAGGCTCCATCCTTCCCTGAATTACTATTGGCATTAATGATTGTCAGGGCAGAGAAAGGCATTTTCTTTAGTAGTACAGTCTTGGGTAAGCTGCCCATGTGTCAGGAAGTACTCTTCCACATATGATTTGAACACATACAAACATGAAAGTAGAGGGGTTAGTGGGTAGTTGAGGAGGGCAGTTGTGGTCAGCAGAAATGGAAGAGGATAAGAGCAGGAAATGGGGTTGTAGATCATAATACATAATATATATTTATATATATAAAATTGTCAAGACACTAATAAAAACCACTAAGATAATAGGATTAGGGAAATAACTTAGTTGCAGAGTAAGCCCTGGGTTCTATCTCTAATACCACAACAAAGAAAAATGACATCTTATAACAGTCATGAGTTCCCCATGCTCACAGATAAGCTTTAGAGAAACCAGAAATAATATATACATGGGCTTTTCTCTTAAAGCGGAAGGGATGTGCATATCTGCTTTCCACCCAAAGGCTGGAGTGGGTATTGTTAGAACCTGGTGATTCTTTACCTATAGAGCCAGTCATCACCAGAATCCACCAGACTCTGGAGCACTGTTTCTTAATCAACAGACCCATTCCTATGAAAGAGGTTCTCTGTACTTGCAAAAGAGTTTACTACTATGCTTATTACACTCTTCCTCCCTAGACCCTTGTCATGAACATGGATTCTCAGGGAACAGAACTCATGAAGAGGTCCCATGTACTTTGAAGCTAAGTGTTAAGGAGTTTTGATATAGTCATGCCTTAAGCTTTGTTGTAATAACTGTCACATGGGAACTTTCTTCCAAACTTGTACTGAGCTTAAATATATCAAAAATAAACTGACTGAGGTCACAACTCCTTGAAGCAGCCCAGCTAGCTAAGTCCTTCTTGCCTCCTGCAGTTGTTTCTCTGCTGGCAGTAGAGCTTGCAGGGACCCCCGCAACATCTTCCTTTGAATGGTCACTATTGGTTGTTTGATCAGCCTAACATAGGGGAAGGTTTTCAGTTAACACCTTTTTGCTTAGCTATTCTACTCCCACGTGGTCATAAAGTTGTCCTAAACTTGTCTGGCTGAAGTAGAGAATCATTTTGAGTGACCAAAGAGTAATATACAAATGTAAATCCATGAGTAGTTATGTTCACGGAAAGCCTACTCATACTAGCCAAAGGACAGAAACAATCAAAATTTCCAGTAAATGACAAGTGGTAAAGACAATGGGGAAAAAATTATGAGCCTGGAATGGTGGTACTCACCTCTACTAATACCAGCACTAGGGGCAGAGGCAGGTAGATCTCTGCGAGTTCAAGGTCAGCCTGGCTTATATCTCTGACTTCCAGGACAGTCAGAGATAAAAATGTGATCCTGTCTCAATTAAATAAAACAAAAATAACAACAAAACCTAATTATGACCTATCCATAAAGAGAGTACTATTTAAATGTTCTTAAGAGAAGGAAGTAGTGCTTCAGAGCACGAACTGGTTTTGCAGAGGTCAGCTCCCAGCATCTCTGTCAGGTTACTCACGTGCCTGTAACTCCATCTCTAGGAAGCCACCGCCCTCTTCTGGCCTCTCTGTGGACACTACACACACACACACACATACACACACACACACACTCTTCTCTCTCTCTCTTACTCACACACACACAAGCACGCACACACGTAAACTCTTGAGAACAAGTTAGGAAGCTTCTCTAATAACACAAAAAGGAAAGATCCATATGTGGTCATACAGAACAACTTCAAACACAGTTTTACAGCTAGTAGTAGAGAATAGCACGGGTGAGGCCTTCCTTGGTTAAACCTCCAGGACTGGCAGTAAAAGAGGAAACCAAGGAATCGTTAAGTGATAAAACTCAGGTAAGGACCTGTAAGTGTAGCTGTGTACCATCTGTACAGAAAGGCAGATGTGTCTACACACATTCCTATACAAAGAATATTTCTAAAAGGAGTTAAAAACTGGTAACAGAGGTATCATCTGAGAAGGAGCACCAAGTATTGCCTAAGGGTCAGGTGGAGGGAAAGTACAGAACTTCCTGGAATGCAAGGAGTTATAGTCCTTGGAAAAATAACAAAGCCTCGTGGGAAAGTATAGCGGCCTATAGGCTTGTCCTTATAAACCCCTGCAATACATGGCTTGGGGACATTCTCGGTTAGGAAATTCCATAGAACGTTCCTGACAAAGTCCATCCCTTGGTCAGCATTTAATATTTAATAAAGCTTGCTTTAAATTTGGCTCAAAATAGTGGAGTTGGTTTTTCTGTAGAATCTCAGGATTAACAGTGTAAAGTGTAAAGTGGCTGATTTCAAAGCATTTAAACATGTAATAATGGTGACTTGTACAGTCTAGCCATGGGGACTCTATCTTAGCTAAGATCCACTGGAACA